AAATTGAATTGTACCTGCGGGGACTGTTTTATCGGGGAGACGAAACGACATATCTCTGACCGAATCCGCGAGCACAAATCAGATTTGAACACAGCAGAACGAATTCTACTGCCATAGCTGATCATTGTTACAACGCTGTGGGTGATTATGATATTATATTCTCCGACACCAAGGTGCTCTGCAAACCTACAGGCTAATATCAGAGATTTGTCCACGAGGCCATCCAGATTTACAAACGTAGACACAACTTCAATCGAGAGGATGGTTTCAAATTGAGTAATCACTGGAAAGATGTTTTAAATCAAGTCAAACGTTAGCTGGCTTTCAATTTTTTGTACAGCCATTCCTCAGTGGTTGTATATCATAGTGCCCTTTGATCGCGTTCACAGAGAGCTCGCATCGGGGAGCCCTTTGATGTGAGCTCACATCGAGGGGCCCTTTGATGTGAGCCCTTTGATGTGAGCTCGCACCGGGGGACCCTTTGGTGTGGGCTCACATCGAGGGGCCCTTTGATGTGAGCCCTTTGATGTGAGCTCGCACCGGGGGACCCTTTGATGTGAGCCCACATCGGGGGGCCCTTTGATGTGAGCTTTGAGAAGTGGGTGTTACCTGCAGCATTCTATCAAAAGGCTGCTTAGCCCAGCCCTCCCACCCACCCACGCCCCCTTACTGACTCCTCCCCCCTCCCTTGACCTGTATATAATCCAAAGTCGTCTCTGAACTGTGCTCTGAACACAGATAATCTGCGTTGACTTTTCCACCTGAAGACGGAAGCTTGTGTTGCCTTCGAAACGTCGTGATTTAATTGTTTTCTTTTATTTTGTTTTATTTTATCTACGTAACTTTACCGAATAAAACCAAAGAGTAAGAATAATACAATAAAACACAACAATCATCATACTGTAATGGAGCAAATGTGATTTTCTCTTTACTCTGTCCAGATTTTGTTAAACATTAACATTAAATTAAATAGTTGTTTTATGCATTTTGAAATCTCAGTAATAAAATCTTTGAAACATAACAGGCATCTCCAGTTTACGACGATACGATTGCGATGCATCTTGCGACACAATTGAACAGTTATGTTTCTACTGTGAAACGTTGTAGCACAGCGGTTCACAACCTTTTCCAGTGTGCATACCTCTTTTTAACCTCTAAAAAAAATTGCTGACTACCACATGCTACGAGTTATTTCAAATTGTACATTTCCTTGGTGAGGACATTATTCTTTTTCTTAATGTACCAAGAAAAAGCCTTCGTGAAGTTAAACATTTCATTGTCATGATCAGTCATGATTTATTGCCTGCTGGATCAAGGCTTCCTCAAGCCGCTGTGCTGAGACTAAACAACAAAAACTGATCACATTTGTCCATAAAACTGCCTAAAAAAGGAAACAAATGCAGTGGTACCTCGGTATACGTCGTTAATTCGTTCCAGAAGGTAGGACTTATACCGGAAATGACGTATATACCAAACGAATTTTTCCCATAAGAAATAAAGGGAAAGGAAATACTCCGTTCCAGAGTATAAGAAATTCTATTTTATATGGCATTATACATTAATGGGGTTCATCTTCTCTGGTTCTTTCGGTAAAGTCACGTAGAATGAGAATAAAATAATAAATTAATAAAATAACACAAAATTCTCACGTTTCGGCCACAACACAAGTGGCCTTCATCAGGTCCTCCAGACAGTCTCGTCCCTTCACCTGATGAAAGCCACTTGTGTTGTGGCCGAAACGTCGTGAGAATTTTGTGTTATTTTATTATTTTATTCTCATTCTACGTGACTTTACCGAAAGAACCAAAGAAGATGAATCCTTGCAGTCATGAAAGCTTTAAATCGAAAATTAATGGGGTTGTATAACATAATGTAGACACTACTTATTACTAAAATGCATACACAAATTAAAATAAATGCATAAATAAATTGAAATAAAATTTAACATCACTTTACCTTGAGAGTTGATCGTCTACAAGGATGGTGGTGAAGAAGGGGAGGAGATGTTATTTTTGGAAGGAGAGTCCCCTTCCATTAAAACTTCAGGAAGCTGAAATTCTGTTTTTTTTAAATCTTTCTCTTTTCTGTCTTTTTTCTTGACTTGAGCCTGGTTGAAGCTCACCAGGTTTGAGTTTTACTAAAAACCTGTCCATTGAAGTTTTTGCCTTCTTCTAAGAATGCTCCTGAAGTGTGACATTGTCTGGTCATTCCATACAATATTGTTATGACTTGTATTGTGTGGAACGACTCATCCCGACCCATACAAGTTCTAGCAAGCGAGGCGTCGTATCCCAAGCAAGACGTCGTATCCCAAGACATTTTTTTCTCGTCAAAACACGACGTGTACCAAATTCGACGTATTCCAAAGCGGTCGTATACCGAGGTATGACTGTATACATTATAAGTGGCATTTTGGGTAATGGTCCCCTCTTCATAGCACATATAAGGGTTATTGCCCAAAATGTCGCTTGTATTTTTCCTTTTAAGGCGGTTTTACTGACAAATGCGAGTTCTTTTTTACAGGTTGGAACAGGTTCCACACTACCCACCCGAGATTATTTGTCTGTCTGTCGTGCATATCCGGAATTCCATCCGCATAATTGGAGTTTCTGCACTAATTTTTATCCATATTTGGTGAGTGTTGTTTTTTAGCTTGAACAAAGTGTGATATCCTCCGTACGCAAATACGCAAATCATATGGTCATCGTCAACGCCACGTGCCCACCAAGGTCGACTGGCATGCTGTTAAGACTCAATGGCTGCTTGCGCGGGACAGTCGCGCAACGCCAACAGCACCGCGGCCTTCGCCAGCGCGGTGGTGGCCCGGGTCGTGCTGCGCCGAACCGGCGAGCGCGCCGGTGGCGATCGCCACGGTGCTCTTGTGCCGCAGCAACCGAACGGCTCCGACTGCGGCGTCTACGCCCTGCTCAACATCGTGCACCGTGGTGCGCGATCACGACGGCATCGTGGCCGTTCAAGGACCAGGCCAGGTGGATTGGCGCACGTGGTACACGCAGGAGGCGGCGTCACAGCACAGGCGCGACCTGCTGCAGCTGCTGCATGAACTTAAAGACCAACATCAGCAATAAATCAAGAATCGTCATCAGATGCAATAGTAACAGCTACAACCTCCAACACGATCGTACGAATGCGCTGTCCAACCAAGTTCCTACCTGCCCACTCCGAAGGAACGTGTTTGTTCTTTCTGGGTGCGCACCACTGCCAAATGCAGCGTCAGCAAATAATTTGCAGGGAATAAAGCTTTCGACTCAGTGGAAATCGGTGCAGTCACCTGTGGCCTCACAAGCTGAGGGCTTAAAACATGAGGATAAAACATTTGTAAAAAAAGTAACAGCTCGTGAGATTTCATGAAGACAGTAACGTCATCCTGAAGAGTTAAATTATTCATTCATGCCCTACAAAGTGTCATTGCCATGCCAGCCTTGTAAATGAAAAAAGTTTGTTCGTCCCATCAGAGAGAAATCTGTTATTCACCAAGGCAATGCAGCCTTTTCTGCTTCCTGTTTGTTATTATTGACTAGCCTTTTGCCCGTCCTAGGACGGAAGCTGTAATATTTACGATAAAATTGAGCACAGTATAATAGTATCTTGTGTAAATTTAATGGCAGTGAATCTTGCGCGAAAGAATGTCATCAAACACTACACTGCATTTAACTGTAGTACTGTATTAATGGCAGTGATGCTTGCACAAACTCTTTCATAAAACACCTCACTTCATGTGACTGTAGCACTGTATTTAACTGACCTTAAATTAGCCTTTTGGCCGTTATAAGACGGAAGCTGTAATATTAAAGATGTACATTTACGTTTTCTTGCGTGATTGTAATTTTTTTTTAGGAATTGTTGCACGTAAATATATATATTTTCGTAACTGCAATTAAATCTCGGTATACGATATTTTGCGTGAATCTCTTGTGCCGTATTAACGGCAGTGATTCTTGCAGTGTTGTGGGGGAGGATTGGTGGCATGAGCAGGCACACTGCGTTACGCTTCCGCATTTGCGGAAGTGACATAACGGATGTGACGTCACAGCTTACTTGCCGTGCAAAATATGTGCATTATTGCGTCCCCCCCCCTCCCAAAAATACAAAAGTGTATTTTTATAATTTTTGCATGGTGTACAGTCTGGAAAGTACCTACATGGCAAATTTCAAGTTTGTTGCATGTCGGGAAGTACGCTAAACATTTTGAACAGACACACATTCACAAATTTCCCTTTTATATATAGGTGACGGGGGGGGGGCATGTGGAGTGATGTCACGTGCGTTACGGACATTTCTGGGCTATTATAGTAGTCATTTGTGGACCAGTGTCACATGAAAGCAAATGAGTTGTGCGGTATGAAGGATGCTAAATTTGTGGTGTTTTTAATTCTATTGGTAGCACCTGGCATAAGTGATTTAACACAGTGGACAACACTTTCTTCTCAATTGCAGTTCCTCTGCCCACATTCTTTATAACTTGAGGCAGTAGGCTTTTGCAACAAGCCAAACTTTGTTTCTCATGTACCGACCACTGAATAGTATTACATTTGAAGTACTCATCAATTGGTGAAATGTTTAATGACTTAATTTGCATTTCGATTAAGATGGTCACTTGGGTTGCACTATAGCGAGTTGCTGAACTCCAGTAGAAAGGTCACGAGTTCAAACCACTGTTAAGGGGGTTGACTTGGAATGTCCTACTTCAGGAGTTGAAAAACGAATGCCACTTTGGGCTGCTTATGGGACATCAGCCTTTCCAACACTTGTTTGAGCACCGAGAGACTTCGTAAATAAGTCTGATGGTGAATGCGCAATAATGTACTCTTAAAGGACGTAGGAGCAATTGCTAGAAATGTAGGATGAAGGCCCCAGCCGTAAGCTTTTTTTCCTTTGTATCTTGGGTATTGTGCAACTGCATAATGCTAAAACGGACCATGAGCAGTAACGCTGCATCTCATCGCATTCTGCTTCTCCCCACAAACATTTGCCCACAGCCGGTGGTCCTGTGGGAGCTTGTGGAACTTATCACTTGTGCGTAAGATGCGCCTGTCTCGGCGCGTGCTCTTCACGGCCACGCTGGCCGGGCTGCTGCTCTACTTCAGTCCGAACCTGCACACGCTGTGGGGCAGCCGCAGGCAGCTCGGACGGCCCGTAGACGTGGGCTTGGCGAGCGAACACGACGTGACGAGCAACAGCGCCCACATGTCTAGCATCGCGGCTGTCCTGCCTCAACTGACTGAGCTGCACATTCCCTACCGGATAAAGTCGGAAATGCTGACGTGAGTGCACACGTGTTTCTGATGTCCCTATGCCCTTCTGACCATGCATTATGCTTTAAAGTGCTGACTGATGCAGCATGCATTTGGTAAATAAGGGAAGTTACCGACTTTCGACAAAATAATTTGATGTCTTACAGGATTTGGTGCAGCAAGTAGGTTTTTTTTTAATTAATGCTATTTACCAGACATCCTAAGCAATATCCGTCTAACACTTGTTATTAAGGTAGAGTGTATAAAATTTGATAAAAATCCATGAGAAATCATGAACTTTACAAAAATATGTATCAAATATATAAATTAAATGATGAAAAAAATATCTTAAACGTACATTTAAAAAAAGTATTCTTTGCATTTGTCAAACCGCCCACAAGTACAATTTGAACATAGGTGTGTGTGATTCTCCGGCTCTGGTCAATGTACAACTAACTCACATCCACAACTGGCTTTTTTACATTTTAAACAACTATGGATGGTATATATGTTGTTTTATTATTGTATCTAATTTTAATTGTTTATGTTTATGGATATTAATGTGGCGATGGCACTTTTGAGGGGGCAAGATCTGTACCAGAAAGGCGCCACGCGTGTAAGCAAAAATAAAATTTACTTGACTCGTGCGGTTGTTGCGTGTTACTGGCCGTGTACGGCACCCGTGCCGCTCCCCGCAGGTTACTGCCCAGCAACACGTGCACATGCGAGAGCTCCGCACCGCTGCTGCCCGTGCCGGGTCTCGACCGCCTCCTGCCCCACAAGCAGGTCCAGCAGCTGGAGGCGGCGTTCGAGGTGCCACTGTTGAAGGACACAAGCCGGCGCCGGCAGCGGGAGTACTTGACCTTCATGCTCAGGTGTGCTCCGTCGCCAAGGCTCCGCACTAGTTTTAGATGTCACGGGGGTGCCGCAGTGACAAAATGTTAACCATCTCGCCTGGTATACAGGACGTCGTGGATTTGATTCTAACCCTGACGCCTGTATATTTGGAGTTTGTGTGTTCTCGCCGTAGTCACGTGTATTATTCTCCCGGTCCTCCAGTTTTTCCTTCCACATTTAGAGTATTTGGCTGCTCAACACAGTACACAAAATCCATTATTTTATCCCATATGTAAAGGATGTGATTCCTGACATGCAACACCCTGGTGTCTACAAATTGAGTTGTGGTTGCGGCAGCAGTTACATTGGGGAAACGAAACGACATGTCTTGGACCACGTTCGTGAACACAAGGCAGATCTGAAGCACGGTAGGACCAATACCTCTGCCGTTGCTGATCATTGTTTTAACGCTGTGGGCTCACACGAAATAGATTTTTCCAAGACGGAGGTACTATGCAAACCTACCGGCTACCTTCAGAGATTTGTTCATGAAGCCATCCAGATTTATAAACGCAGACACAACTTCAACCGAGAGGATGGGTACAAACTGAACAATCATTGGAAGGACGTTATTAACCAGGTAAAGTCTTAAATGACTGTGATGTTTCCATCCTACCTGCCTATGTCAGCTGTTATTTCTGATTCTCTGTGTGTGTGTGTCTCTCTATGCCTCTCTCTTAGATCTCTCATGCTCACACGTCCTTTGCATTGCACTCTCATGCCTTTGGATTGTACTCTCATGCTCACATGTCCTTTGGATTGCACTCTCATACTCACATGCCCTTTGGATTGCACCCTTTGGGTTGCTCTCATGCCTTTGGCTTGCACCACTCTTCGATTTTACATTAACATGCTAATCTCTCACATTAACATAGCCACTTCCGTGCCCTCGTCTAGGATGCCGCTTTGGATTGCACCACTCTTCGATTTCACATTAACATGCTAATCTCTCACATTAACATAGCCACTTCCGTGTCCTCGTCGAGGAGGCCACTCTCCTATATTACAGTTACATGATAACTTCTCACATTAACATCATGCTAATCTCTCACAACATACTGAAAGAACCAAAGAGTACTAACCTGGATCTTGTGTTTGTTTAAGATTTTGGAGATCTTTTTGGTAACCCCTTTTATGTATGGCAAAGTGATGGTTTTTATTGGATCCTCAGATGGTTGTCTCCCCATGGCTGGGGAGACAGCTTTGCGGATTGTACAGTCAGAATATCCATTCATCCTGAGGGCTTGGTGTACGTGCTCCAGATCACTGGCTCGGTGGTGCTGGTCGGAGATACAACGGGCCCTATAGTGTAGTGTTTTGATGAGGGAATTCTTCTAGGCTGGATGGTGGTGGGAGGCAGGCTTTAGATAGGTATCCATATGGGTGGCCTTCCTGTAGACAGTGTCCCAACGAGCCATCAGGTCTCTTCTTGATGAAAACATCCAGGAATGGTAGCTTGCCATCATTTTCCACTTCCATGGTGAATTTGATAGATGGGTGTATGGAATTGATGTGGTTGAGAAATTTGTTCAGTGCTGGTGGGCCATGTGGCCAGATGACAAATGTGTCATCTACGTATCTCTACCATAAGGAATGTCTGGATGGCATCTGTCTCAAATTTATTCATGAATTGGCGATAAGGGAGAACCCATTGGGAGTTCCCTCATTTTGTTTGTAGAATGTACCATTCCAGGTGAAGCAAGTGTTGGTAAGGCAGTGCCTCACCAAAGTTGGTACATCTGGATTCAGTCTCTGTTGGACTAAGTCTTATTGGTATTTTTGTTTTGACATCAACATATATTCCTTGCAGGTGGCTGTCAAATCTAATCTGCCTTGGTGGACTGCTGCTGCTGGTGTCGGCGTGTCACTGAGCCTCCTTTCTTGTGTATTTGCCCCACAGGCACGCACTCCCCGTGAAGAAGGTGCTGGTGGCAGAGCCCAACTCGCCACTTTCCTACCCGACCCAGGGGCTGCAGGTGCCGCCACTGCAGACTATCCTCATACCGGGTGAGAGGCACGGAGGACCCCAGGGTTCTCTGTCTATCCCAAATATCTGAGCAGCACACACATGTGAATGAAGGTGAAATCCATAGACATATGTATATTTTTTTTACATTTGTATAAAATATTATCTGTCAGAAAGAAAAAAATTAACGTGAAATAAATCTCTCTTTTTCAGGATTAGGACTACATAATGGTGACAAAGAAATGAAAAAGGTTGGTGTTACTCGTGCATGATGTCAGCAGAAAAATCTGGCTAAAGGTGCCAAAATCATTATGAAACCTCCTTTGCCAGTAACAAGATATAGTAATAGGTTTTACCCTTTTAACTGGCACAAAAACTGACACCTTTATTCAAGGCATCATGTTTGCAATAACCACAACACAAGCAGTCAAAATGCAAACAAAAGAGACAACTCTGATAATAATATGCACTGTTCTTGAATTTGATTGATCCACACCCGAGACAGCTTTTCTTAGAGCCTAGTCTCCACTGGTGTTCGACCAGATGACGCCAAAAGGCGTACAACTCAAAAACAGCGCACTATCAGAGTATTGAGGGCTCGGGGTGAGCATTTACATTATGAGACCTCCTTTGCCAGTAACAACATGATGCCTTGAATAAAGGTGTCAGTTTTGTGCTAGTTAAAAGGGTAAAACCTATTACTATATCTTGTTACTGGCAAAGGAGGTCTCATAATGTAAATGCTCACCCCGAGCCCTCAATACTCTGATAGTGCGCTGTTTTTGAGTTGTACGCCTTTTGGCGTCATCTGGTCGAACACCAGTGGAGACTAGGCTCTAAGAAAAGCTGTCTCGGGTGTGGACCAATCAAATTCAAGGACAGTGCATATTATTATCAGAGTTGTCTCTTTTGTTTGCATTTTGACTGCTTGTGTTGTGGTTATTGCAAACATGATGCCTTGAATAAAGGTGTCAGTTTTTGTGCCAGTTGAAAGGGTAAAACCTATTACTGTGCCAAAATCATTTAATGTTCCTGTACGTTTTTCAAAACATAAATTCCATTGTGATGCATTAAAGAGTTGCAGTGCTACTTGTGAGCACACGAGTAGAACTGCATGTTATTCCCGAGGTAAATTGTCAGAAAATAGATTATTGCAGATTTTTTGTCACCCTTGTGCATTGATCGGCTCCTGTCCTTCCCCCCCCCCCACTAGGTGACGCTGTCCGCGAAGCTGGGGGTGCTGGACACAGTGGCGGAGGTGGGAGAGGTGATGGCAGAAGGGCTGGGCGAGTCACGCCTCTCCCTGAGCAGCTCCCACCTGGAGAACCTCAACCTGCAGCTGCGCACAGTCACGTACACCAACACGGTGTACCAGCCGGGCACCTCCGAGATGGGTACGGCGAGAAGCGACACACGCTCTGCGTGAACGTCCAACCACGAGACCGTGGACCGCATGTGCCGGCGCGCTCCGCTGACTGGATCGCTGCTCTCCTTTCCGCTCTCTCTGTCTACAGTGCAGATGGAGAGCGGGAAACACAGAGCTGAGATACCGATCGTTGTAGCGCACCAGAGCTTGCCCTGGCTCTACGACCCTGGTCCTGGTGAGTGACAACTGTGAGCTTAACATTTTCTCAATTCTGTTTCTCATATTTGTCAATGGACATATTTTGCTAAATAATTAATCCATCTTAGTCGAGTTTGTGTGCAAGGAATGTGTAAAGAATCATGAAGAGGCATGTGCTTGGACTTATATTGAGATATGAGGAGAAACACAAGGATTAGAGAACACGTGCAAGTGAGACATCATATTGCTTGTTAAGAAAGATAAGTGAGCTTGAGAAATGAACTAAATTTCTAACCGAGCTCCTAGCACATGGAGCGAAGTGTTAACCGTCACGTTGAACAACGTGTGGTAAAACCCGAAAACACATCGGAGAGCAATCATGCTTTTATATTATTTAGAAAACCACTTAAGTATAATTTATCAGCCTGCCTAGCATATGTTGAAGGAGTAAAAAAATAAAGGAAATAATTTACAAAAACTATGTGTAGAATGTTATGGGTCTGATATGTAGAATTTAAAGTTTGGAAATGCTGAGTTACGGGCCCCCATGCGTTATGCTTTGTCATTACATCAGAAATTACATCAGAATTGGTATCATATGACTATTTTATGGAATTTATGACGTTACCATTCTTAACGGTAGATATTCTTCTCCAGAAGATTCTAGAGCCCTGGCGCATAAGAAAAACCACTGTGCACCTACCTACTAACATCATAGTACAGTATAACATTCAACATGTACTATACACAACATAACATCACGATTGCATTTATAATGCACGATAGATTACAGAAAACTATAATAATTACACTCTATTATACACTCAATAGCATAATTATATCACAATTAAAATGTACTATAGACTAAAATCACTCTATAACAAATAAAACATACTTTACACTTACTCAATGTGGAGGCGAGGGTTGGTGTATCGCCGCAAAATATGACAAACGTTGCGAAACGACCCTTTTCGTGGTCTTCGAGGTGCCAGCAAAATGCAGTACAGCAGAGTGTGGACATATCATCTGTCCTGCTTGGGATTGTGTCGCCCCCTCGCATGTGTGAGTTTACTCCAGGTACTTCACTTTCCTCCGACATTTAGAAATTACTAGCGGGAAGTACCTGGCGTTGCTCGGGTGAAAAAGACACACACATCGACTTAGACACACACACACAGACATCTATCCACACACACAAACACATCGACTTACACACGCACATATGGACTCACACACACAGACATCCACTTTAGATACACACACATGGAGTTACACAAATCGACGTACACACATACAGCGACTCACACACACATACGTAGATTCTCACACACACATCGATCTAAGCACACATATGCACTTACACACACACATATCGACTAACACACACACACAGACTTACACACACACATGGAGCCACGCACACACATACATATACTCACACACACATTGGCCTACACACACATACACATATGGATTCACACACACAGACATGGACTTTAGATACACACACATGGAGTTACACACACATCGACTAACACACACATCGACTAACACACACACAGCGACTGACACACACACATGGACTGATACACATCGACACACACAGTGACTTACACACTCACATGGAGCCATGCACACACATCGACTAACACACACATTGACTAACACACCCACAGGGACTGATACACACACATGGACTGACACGTACACTTGGAATTACACACACACACACACATCGACATACACACACACACATCTGGCGTTGCCCGGGCAAAAAAGACACAGACACACATCGATTTACACACACACATGAACCTAAACGCACACACATATGGACTCAAACACACACATTGACTCACATACATACATCGACTTACACAGCAATCCCCGATGATGCCACAGCTAGAGCAATTTTCTCTCTCTGGCGAGCCTTAGCGAGGAGCAGTTTGAAAGCAAAGGTCTTCCCAGTACTGGCAGGTGCATAAAGGAAAAAAAAAATGACTAGATTTGTAGTGTCAATGTCTTCCAATATTTTCGTGTCGGCTTCTATTTGTGCATCAATCAGTTTTGGTAAATTTTCCTAATAAATGTAAGAAGCTCTAAAGCATTATAGCATATTTCACGTAGGATCTCTTGAGCAAGGGCATGCAGGTTGTCCCTGTAGGGTGTTGGTAGTCCCATAGACGTGAGGTCTTTTCCACCAATGGCGTGCAGTTTGTCCTGAAGGAGGATGAGGGCCTGTTTGAAGATACATCAGAAAAGTTGACATCGAGGTTTGTATTTTCTCATTGAGCTCCGTGGAGGATGTCCTCACTAATGCCCTCTTTATATTTTTGCCAGAGTCCCATGGGGTTAGATGGGCTGCAAATTTGAAGATTTATGCAGAAGAGCAATGTCAGTTGGAAAGGGGACTGACCGACATAAGCTTTTGTCATAGCTTTATGAAGATGGTGATCATGCACAATAATTGCACGAAGATAGTAAGCTTCCCTGTATGTTTGACAGACAACTCCTCCCACTGTTTAGAGGCCTTGGAAAGATTTGTGCCCTTTGGCAACATGGAGAAGCATTGGGAGAAAGTAGCACTGCAGATTGTTGGGATAAACTGTGTAGACTCCGTCCTAAGGCATCAGATTCGCTGTCAGCAGCACGTCGCTTACATTTTTTTAGCAGTCCATGTATCGTCGGAGGGAACTTAATGATAGAGCAGGTTGGCAGCAAATGGATCACTTGGGCACCAAAAAACAAACGCCATCTTGTGGAGCCAGGGCCTGCTGTTGGGCATTTCCTTTGGTGACGTAGATGCGTTGACTATTTTGGAGGTGACGTGCCAAATGGACGACTGTGGGGGAACGGTCATGGATGGGGAAGCCAAGAATTCAGCAAATGGCCTCATTGTTGCTGATGTATGTTCTTTGGAAAAAAAGTTTGAGCTCATGCACACTTTGCCCCTCTGTTTTGTTTTTGCAAAGACAGCCATGTCAGAGCCTTTGTTGATGTATTGGCAAACATAGTTGATGGCTTTTTTTAAGAATAGCAGAATTTCACATTCAAGTGGGCCTGGAAGATCTTGCACAGAAGAGGGCAGTAGGGAACGATCCACCGGTTGTCAACCTTAATTTCCGCGTTAGTGACAGGTCTGAGCGTTGTTTGAAATCCACCATGCTCAGTATTTCTGTGACGATATAGAGGATAGCCATCATGGGCCGACTGAGTGTCTTTCAAGTAGTTTGGTGGATACCTCTTGGTACACATGTGGTCTTGCATACATGGCGGATTTGGATAGAACTGGCCACATGGGCCATGGGCCATTTGGTTGCAGACCACATAGAAAAAGAGCAGGGTCTTGATGAGGGTGAGCACTGATAAATGTGTCAATGTGACTTGCATGAATTGTTTCCCTCATGCATAGTGCAATGTGAGCATGAGGAAGACGACGTTTTTGGCACACAATGGTGTGCAAGTTACTCCTTGTCTATCCAAAGACGCCGCCTTCGTTGGTCGTAATAAGCATCATGAGGTCATAAAATTTGAGTTTTTAGAGCCTCGCTAAGATGTCATGTCTGTCTGGTGGCTTTTGGTTTGGATAAAGGTAAACCTGGATCTCCTTTCATTTGGGATTGCAAGTGATGAAGAGATGGGGCGTGCCATATACGTCATGGCATCCTGAGTCTTCTCATGCATGTATCTTGGTGGAGCTGTGAAGGATGAAGGCAAAATAACTAATCTGCCCACATTGTGAGCATTTGCATCTCCTTCGGCATTGATGGCGTCCCAGATATGAGCATACTGTTCACACGCAGGCGGTTTTGATTCAGTTGAATGTAAAGAAGGCGCTCACTCTCACTGTTGGCATACTCATCGACAAGATACTGGTGAAAGAGGTTGACACACCATAATATGTGGTTTTCTCCTCTGTCCGTCATTACGAAGGAATATAAGTTGTTTTAGAGGAGACAGTTTTGTGAGGATGTCTTTGTCCTGCAGCTTTGTAATTGGAGGAATGTTGACGTGGTACCCCATCTTGGCCTTGCGACAGGAAAATGTGCAATGGCGTTTTCTTGGTATAGAAGCACAATGTCTCTCTCACAATGTTCCTCATCCACCGTAAGAAAGCAAGGTCAATAGTATTTGGGGCATTGAACCTCCCTGCATGCTCCCCGCTTTGGTGGAAAGTAAAGGTGCGGTATGGCAAGATTTAAATGGGTGATGTTCCCACGAATGTAACAAAACGATAGACGAAATGCAATGGGCTGTAGCTAAGAAAGTCCAACGTATTTAGCAGTATAACATATTAATCAGCATTGCAGTACTACGTATCAGCAAATAGCTGATGTGAACAATGGAAACAATATAGATGTATTGAAGAAATAAGCTGAAATAAGTGTACATTAAAGAGCAGCAGTATGCACAGGTAAGTTGAGAAGTAGGCTACAGTCTAGATTATAGACTGCCAGAATGCTGATTCAATGACATAAGCATTGCTACAGTCCACATAAAACGCTGGCAATACGGGCAGCAGCTGAAAAAGCAGGATACAGTCGACATGAAAGGCTGGCAGTGCACTGAGTGAGGTAAATAAGCAGGCAACAGATTATAGACTGGCATACACTCATAATGGGCAAAAGCAAAATTAGCAGCGTAGATAATAGAGTGGCAGTGCACTGACGCTAATTAATCAGCAGACAGCAGGCCACAGCACAGACTGGCAGTACACCATCACAGCGTCATAAAAACACACCTACAAAATTAAATATTTAGCAACCTAATAATGAAATAATAGTTTTCTGCACACAACCATTATTATTGTAATATTTGCCAACTTATAAGTTTCATAATAGTAAACAATGAACCTGAGTTCTTAGCGAAAGATTCAATTAAAGTGTACATTACATTACTGTGGTGAGGCCTAGTCCCGTGCAGAGGCCGCAGCCTTGTCTAGATTGCCCAGCCAGATGAGGTGACACATTGCCAGGCTGGGTGCTGGGCCGCTCTCCCCACCCGCGCTACAATAATGCTATGTAAGTGCTATAATATTAATATCTACGGACTCCATATCAGTAACTGCACGCATTGGGGTGGGGGGGGAGAAGAGGACATAAGACTGTGAAGAATGAACCTCAGCGTTGTGTATATATATTTTAGGCATTGTTAACGCGAATGACATTTTTTAGCGATCGTGTGTGTGTGTTGCTAGGGGCAACTCCTGTCAGCGTTTCGCGCATGTGCAATTGCGTGCTTTATCCCGCGCCGGGCAGAAAAGCTATATAAATAATGAAAAATCGCACAAAATCGCTAAATAAACTAATTTAAAGGTGACGGACGTGAAAAAGGAATAGCGCTTGCCAGCCGCGGGGCTTACGGCGTGGTACTTGGCACATTTTTTTTAAACGTAAACCCCACCGTTTCAGAGCCAAATCCCTAGCAAGCGCGTGAACACACACAGACAGACGGACATACAGACAGACAAAAAAATTACATTTATAAATAAGATACTCTTATATAAGCGCACAACTTTATCTATCTGTGATGAACGCTGCACTTCACGTCGTTTTCATGCAGGGGGCGCTGCAAACCTAAACGCGCCCCCTGCATTAACGACGGAGGCACAGGGACAGACGTTCGATCACGTTGGAGTCGATCTGCAGACGGCGGTCTTCTCGCACGGCCAGCAGCCCCGTGTCGCCTTATCTCGATCCCGCAATCCCAAACAGGTGAAAGTCCGCATTGAACCGAACTCCCAGCAAGGCCATCTACTTAACGACAAGAGAAAATCCACATGAAATGTCGTTTTCAATGAAGTCTTCCAGATGTAAAATGATATAAGCTTTAATGAAGAAATAAAATTATCTAATTAAAAACATAATACAATTCAAAGACTGTTTCATTTTAAAACTTAAAAACGGAGCTTTGGGTGCTTGCGTGAATGCGGCTTTCGTGTGCAATTTTTTTCGTGGCTTTCCCGGCCGAAGGACGTAAATGGTCGTGAGGGGCACCGCAGGTGTCCCCGAACAACCCCTAGTTTATAAATACTGTCTTATTAACTGAAATAATCTAAACGTATAGAGAACTGCAGAGCAATTGTTGGCACTAACTCACCACTTGGCGGCCCTCCAGCTTGTCTGTGCATCCACAGCGATTATGAGATGCAATTTGCACGAACACGAGATATGAAGTTAATCACAAGATTTGTTTAAAAAATATCAGATTAGATAAAGACAATGAGGGGCTAATTTTGCGACTCTTCTAAAACAGATGGAAATATCAGCAACCTCGTGACGGTGGTAACCAAGACGTTCTTGCGCTACGACAAGCTGAAGGGGCTCATTGCCAGCATCAGGAGATTCTACCCGGACATCACCATCATCGTGGCGGATGACTCTGAGCACATCGAGATGCTCCGCGAACCGGGTGTGGAGCAGTACATCATGCCTTATGGGAAGGTCGGCACCATATTATTAGGGTTGTAACAATTCTCAAGCACGTGATAGATGCATTAAATCACACGTGTAAAAATAGATGTATCTAAAAATGCAATTTTATGTAATGGATTCATGTGATGACTCCAGTCACGAGCGACACCACAATGCTAAAAACAGAATCAATTCTTAAATGAAATTATTTACAGTTCTTACAAGGCGGGTGGATTGTTAGAGCCTGATTGTTTTTTTCATTTGGACTTCACCACGCCTGACATTTTACCAGGCAATGCTGTGACAACGTTTTTGACTCTTAAGTGCTCACGAGAATGGTGACCAGTTTCAATTCAACAGGAGCCTTTCTTTGGACAGCCTGGCCCCTTCAATATGATTTTACCAGGCCGACAAGTCTGTTAGTCGCTCAGAGCCACGAGCATAAAATCACTAGCCTATGCTCATTGGAGCATCAATTCACTTTAATGTAATGCGATTTTTGTTTTTACATTGACTTTAATTTGTTTGACGTTTCGTGATGGCAAAATGCGAAGTAGAATTAGCAAGTCACCAGAAAAGTCTGACATTTCTCCCTCTTGCCCACACAGGGTTGGTTTGCTGGCAGGAACCTTGCCATTTCCCAGGTGAGCACCAAGTACCTGCTGTGGGTGGATGATGACTTCCTCTTCTCGGAGAACACGAAGCTGGAGCGCATGGTGGAGGTGCTGGAGAAGACTTCCCTGGACGTGGTGCGTCTGCCCAGACTTGCCTCTTTGTTTCTGCTCAAGCTCTCTGATGTGTGTGTGTTTGGGTTGTACTGCATGTTCTTTGGCATGATGTCCAATGTTTCACTCTATGTGCTGGGAGCTCATTCAGGAAATATATAGCATAATCGTGACAACCTGCACAATAGTACAGGCTCAGAACTTTCAATCAAGATGAGCACTGTGAAATGTGCCTTTGACCCATGTGGACTACGTTGATTTTTTAAATAAGTATTATTTCCCATCAGTCCGATAACTACCTGCTCGATGTGGTGACATAGACTGCACCAGCAAGAACGTCACCTGGAGGTGGCGCTAGTGGATCACATAATGAGCCAGTGTGTCATACAATAAAAGTCCTCCTTCCAAGCCCACTCATGCATGCCCAGCTCCCTGCTCCCGTATTTGCTGTGTCAAGTTGTGATGAAAGTTAGATGCTTAACACAAATTGTATTGCAATCCCTTTGTTTTAAAAATCCAACTGCAGGCCAATTAAATATCTATAGGAAGCAGTACAGTAAGTAGGGTGGTCACCTATCTGTGTTAAGTTTTAGCGTTCTATGTTGCCTTCTTTTGAAAATGTTTAGCCGAACATTTTCAAAATAACTTTCCTGGAAAACAGCTCAGCTTTTGTTCGGCCGGATAGAGGGGGCTAAATGGGTGCGGCACCGGCTGGAGAAGAGATGGAGTGATATGGTACAATAGGATGTGGAGCTGAGTGGACTTGGTGGTTGCTGTTATATGCCCTTGCATTTGTTTGCACAGTTTCTTCACAAGTCAACAATTATATTCTTAGTTTTTTCGGTAATAATAAAATATATATTGTTTTATATATATTTTATTATTTTGTTGTTTCCCTCCAACGTGACTTTACCGAAAAAACTAAGAATATGAATTACTGCAGTCACGAAAGCTTTAAATCAAAATTTAAGTCAACAATTGTGATGGTATGCCGTGGTTTGCGCTAGTTCCATGAGATTTGTTGCAGTGCTGTTTCATGCACAAACCATTCTGCTTGCAGGTTGGAGGAGCAGTGCGGGAGGTGACCGGCTTCCAGACCACGTTCCAGCACAAGCTGGAGGTGCAAGCAGGAGGACCCGATGGGTACTGTCTGCACCAGCACCGTGGTTACTACCACCCGCTGGCCGGCTTACCCAACTGCGTGCTCACGGACGGAGTGGTGAACTTCTTCATGGCGCACACGAGAAACGTGCGCCGGGTTGGATTCGACCCTCAACTCAACCGCGTGGCTCACACAGGCACGGACCCTCAAGCACGCTGCATAAACACGATGAAATCAATGCCCCATGATCCGGAAATTGTCCGTTAATTTTGCGTCAAGTATACGCACATGTATACATGTACAGTTATATTTAAAGTAACATTTTCCCACAAATAATTATGGGCTTATTAAAGGTAATGTTTGTTTTTGTAAGGTAATATAATGTTTCTGATGGAGCTAAAATTAGGATTTCATGAACATCAAATTTACCATTTGTGTGGAAAATGCCATTATTTATTTTGGTTATTTTTAATAACAATCAATTTTTTGCTATATGGTTAAATAAAAAAAAGAAATCTGTTGAAAGCTATAAATGCGCACGCAATTATGTTCCTCTTTGTTTCTCTGCATGTGCGGAACCCTAGAGTTTTTCATCGACGGGCTGGGTGAGCTTCGCGTGGGCTCATGCAGCGACATTTCGGTGAATCACGCTTCCAAAATCAAGCTGCCTTGGACTCGGGGGGACAGCGACCGCAAGTACAACGAGTTCCGCTATGCTAGCGACGCAGACGGAGTCCTCAAGCGAATGCTCCGCTCCCTTTACTTCAAGAACCGCCTGAAGTGCTACAGCAAGGATTAATGTCTATTATTAAGGCATCCCTCCAGGAACCTGGAGGAGCCTGGACGGATGCAGCAATGAGATTAAAATGTTGCCAATTTGTCCCTAAACCCACTGAACAACAAGTTTTGGGCATGTTTTTTACACGTAAGCTGTCTGCCTATAAAAAACTGAAATCGTTGCTCTTATATACACTCAGCAGTCATAACTACACACTCCAATGGAATTAGAGGATTATTTTTTGTCCACGAAACAGATGTGTGCTAAGCACAATGAGGACTTTGTTGAGGTTTTTTTGAGGTAAAGATACTTAGTGGAAAGAATCGCCATACAACCACCTAGTTTACTGGGCAATGGGGACAATATATTGGATGATTTTGATTAAAATAACAATTTCGGATAAAAAAATGTGAATGTTAATGATGTGTTTAAATCTCTTTGTCTGAAGTGTGCATGTGAAAAAACACTTTTAGTGTGGCGTGTGTGAGGGGCAACTTTGCCTTGCTGCTTATGATGGAATTTTCACTGTTTATGTTGAGGACTCTTTTTTCTAATGAACAAGTTCATAGCACATAAATAAAACCACTACTGTTTTGTAAAGCATGGTGAATATTTTTTCAAAACAGCTAAAAAAATCAGAAATGTGCATATACTTACGAGCAATTATAGTATGAATTAACTTTCTATATGGGAATATAATTTATGATTCATTAAAATGATTGATTTGCTGCTTGAGATGACATTTTAAACTAAATGAAAGACAAAACACTGCATTGTTTTTTGTTTATGAAGTGGTATGTCAATATGATTTTTTATGCCAATAGAATTCAATAAAAAATGTCAAGTGCTTTTAAAAAGTTGTATATCCCCACAGTACATATGTGTGATTTAAGATGGTGGGTGGCTCTCCAATCAAAATATAAATCTTGGAGCCATTTTAGAGTTCAGGCCTATATTACTGTAATCAGTCTGCTTTGTCACAAGTGTCCTATATATAAGCATGAATCTCACCCCTCAATTTCCCATGAGCTTTTCCATTAATAGATCTGCCATTATAATTGTAACGAAAGAGGATTATGAACTTAAGTAAATGTCAACTTGCTCACAATCTAACCATGAAAATATATTAATTAACTGTAAATATTTGAAAGCAATTGACAGCCCACAGGAGCCCACCACCTATTGGTAAGGAGATGGTAAAAACTCAGTGCCTGGTTAATGGCTTTCTAAATAATGCTTTAATTGACATCTGGCAACCTGCCGAGAGGGACAATTCCCATTAAACCTTTACGTGGTTCACATGGGTCCTCTGCCCGAGTTTCCCTCACTGCATAGCCCAGTCCCCGTGACCCTCTGTCATGTAGGCCCCAGTACCATCGCACCACCTGCACATTCGATCGATATGCCACAGATTAGAAGCTTCCAAACGTTCTTATATTACTCACAACATTTGAAAGAGCAACATATGTACAAGTAACTGGGAGCCCACACGTGGCGAACTTTGTGTAAGGCCTTCATTCCTCACACTATACAACATACGCACTCCTCAGGAGTCCCAGGCATACGTCACACACCCCTTATATATCTTCTGCCCCCAGATTTTTCCATTAAGTTCCTCTAGCTCCTTCTTTAATGAAAAATCCCTCTCCTGTAGTCCTCAGCCATTCCCCCTGCCTTCTTCCCAGTTGCGTTCCTTGCCGCCTTTATTTAATGTTGATTAATTTGTCTCCGTGTTCGCACCCAACCCAACGTGTCCCAACACGACCCTTACGCACATATAAAGTTACAGCTAAGCTACATCGGTTTCAAAGCTACACCTGATATTATACAATTATTAAGATAACGGAAAGCAATGCAATCATATGGATGGGAGAGATGACAGAGAAGCATTCATTCAAAATAGAAACGATGAGGGAGTGATTTTTGATTAAAAAAAAGGCTTTACCATTTCTGGCAACAACACAGGAGGTCCATATTCTTAGTTTTTTCGGTAAAGTCACGTTGAAGAGAAACAACAAAATAACAAAATATATATAAAACAATAAAAAAATTTCTCACGACGTTTCGACCATAACTCAAACGGTCATCATCATCATTGACCGTTTGAGTTATGGTCGAAACGTCGTGAGAATTTTTTTTATTGTTTTATATATATTTTGTTATTTTGTTGTTTCTCTTCAACGTGACTTTACCGAAAAAACTAAGAATATGAATTACTGCAGTCACGAAAGCTTTAAATCAAAACACAGGAGGTGTTAAGATATTTAAACACCAAATAGTGTAGACACCTACTTCAAGGCATCAAGTCTGCATTAACCGCACATGCTTGTGGTAAAACATGCAAACAAACATACTTTGATAATATACGCAGTCTTTTAAACTGATTGGCCGACACCAGAGACAGCCTTCTTTATGGCCTTGTCTCACCAGTGTTAGACCAGCAAATGCCAAAAGTACAAAGGCAATGCAAATATCAGTGACTAACTCGGAGACGATAAGACTTGGAGGCACTTCTTTATTAACAAGCACCATCGGGGTTAACACTCTTATCAATTAGGCCGTCTATTGTCGGCGACGCTACTCAGCCAGGACAGTTGGTAGGCTGCCTAATGACGACGAGAAGGATGGTGAAGACGACGAGAAGAATGAAGACAACAAGAAGAACGGTAACGAAGGACTTCAGCAGCATGATGGGGATTCCACTCCAACAACAGCCCCGAGGTCCCCTACAGAGCCCCCCCCTTATACTCTCAACGTGGCCTCGCTCTGCCCCCAGCCCAGTCCCCTTTCTGGAACCTACTAGCGGGTTCCTGGTGGACCCCTTCTGTGACCTTTCCCCTAGATCCCCCTCATGTATATCCTGTCCTGCAGACGTCAGGACTGCCATATGCCGCAGATCCATTTTCTTTCCAGCAGCCAGTGCTATGCCACTACATATATAACACCTCTTGTGTTGTTGCCTTAGGAGGTAAAGCCTCTTCTTATTTTTTCATAATTTGATCATGGCAAAAAGTCCCATAGAGATTTTTTGAGAAAAATAAAAGGGCATGTATTTATAGGAGGTATGCGAGAGATGATGGGAGATAGATGCACTCAGATGTGATTTGAAAAAAAATATATCACGGAAGATGCCTTTCATGAAAGGCAGGAGATCAAGATATGATCAAAAGAGATAGCAGAGATGTATTCAGACAACTTATAGATACTAGAGAGATGTACTGAAGAGAAAGCTAAACTATAGACAAGAGATGTATTCAAAAAATATATGAAATGGAAGACATGATGTAGTACAGGGGAACTAGCACACGTGTAATGCACACACCAGATAAGTCGTCATGCACCAGGCTCCGATCGCCAATGACCCTCAACTCCAAGATTAACTTCAAAGGCTACATCGTGAGCAAGACAGCGAAATAAACGCGGTTGGGGGCTATTTTTATATTTAACAACACACAAAACGTGCACTGTAAGTCGTCTGTGTTTTTTTTTATTTTACGCCCTGCACTGTTTGGTTGAGATGGGTTGTATTGTCACTTACAGATTCGAACACACAAAACCTTTAAGCCATATCCACACCACCAACTCAACGAGCTGAGAAAACGTGACCACCCTAATAGGCAACAGGGAAACAAAGACACGACTGAAGACCGGGTTCATCCTCATTAGGACTCATTAGTACAGTCCAGCACCAGTCATGTGTGGTCAGGGGAGGCAGAGGAGGCAGAGCCTTATCTGTCATACTCCAATGAAAATAGCTGTTACTAACAAAAACATTAAGATTTTTCCACTGATGTATGATTCCAATCATTTTTATAGTCAAAATCGCCAAATTTGCGGAGCTCCACTGCAAATACAGGGAGAGACGAGAGGTGAGGCACCAACGAGCTCAGCCTCCCCTCTGATTGCGCAACTCCTCAGAAACTGGATGGAGCGCGGGCAATAAGCGCGTGCCTGTTACTACCTCCTCGTGGTGCCGGACGGCAACGTTGTGGTGAGCAGTGCTGTGGGGAGAGGGCCTTTCCATTCATGGCGTTTGTAACCACCACAGCGGCCAAATGGGGGCTCTGGACGGGTGCGAGGGGCTGGTAACACCTCCACCTTCAATTAACTATCACTAAACTACGAGGTAAAACATTTGTAATGACAGGGTGACACCTGCTAGCCTGCAAAGGGAATCATGGGTACGGGCACGGTTAAGTACCCACCAATCAGAGAAGGAGGTGTATCTGGGGCAAAGGTAACAGGTGGAGTTAGCCGAGATACTCCGGGAACCTGATGGAAGGTTCCATGAGAGGGCATGGCTGGAGGGATATAAGGGGGAGCGGACCCGGGACTCGGGGGCCCATGTGTGGGGTCCAGGGTCCTGGCTACGTCGGTGCTCGCCGACATCTCTCTCCATTGTCCGGCCATGTGGAAGATCTCCTGCATGGTTTCCATCGCCGTCATCGTCACGCCGCCAGCGAGCGGCGTAGCCGAGTTGATTATCAGAATATTTATTTAGACTGAAGGAATCCGATGAGCTATGAAGCTCTTTTTTTCTACAGATGTCCGGTATGGGCGGGTCAGCAATCAAACTAAGGTCAAGTCCATGACACATGCAGGGACTCGCATGGCGTGGGACGAGAGTAGATTAGTTCTGGTTGACACGAATTGCAATTGGGCACGAATGTTTACTTTGTGGTGACAAGAGGCAGAACGAGACTAGCAGCACAGAAAACACAGTTGGAAGGTGACAGCGAATAGGAAAAGACAGTATAAACGAGACAGATATAATAATGCACAGCACACAAGAAAAACAGAGGACAGAGTGTGCAACAAACAGGGCAGTAAAACTTATAAACCCAGTTAGAGACGAGGCAGTCAGTGCCAAGGGGTGACCATACAGATTTCACCAACAGTACAAACGAGACCGACAATTAAAACGAGGCAGTACACACGATACCAACAATGCTGACGAGACAAGACAGTATAGACAATATGTACAGACAATGAGGCAGTACAGAGAGGTGGTATATACAAGGAGGGACCTACGGACAAGGCGACAGTACAGACGGGACAATAATAGACAGTACAGGTGAGACAAGAAGAGACAGTTCAGAGTGGGCAGTATAGATTTCACAGACAGCGCAGAGGAGACGGTATCAACAAGCAGAGATGGTAGAGAGGGTGTTGGGTCGAGACAGGTGAGCAGAGGCAGAAGATGAGTGAGGGTGATGGGACTATGCTGAGTGATCGGCTGTGTGTGTAGCCAGTAGAGGTGTTAATACTTAGAGTTATACTCAGTGTGAGGAAGAACAAGTGTTGGCCTGTGTTGTGCCCAGTGTGAGTAATAAAGAAGAAGTACCCTCTACACGTGTCGCGGAAGTCGCTCATTACACATTTATTAAGCTTGTGCCGGAGGCCCCAGGGGTACAGGCGTCTATGACGTCTCCTGGCCAAAACCCCATTTGGCGGAGCCAAGAGACTGAATGATTATCCTCGGGGCTCCTCCAGAAACAAAAAAAAACACTACTTGTGGCCACGTGGAATGTTCGAACGCTCACTGTGGAGGAGTGGCTACTACTCCTCTGTCGGGAACTGGACCGGTACCGCCTAGATCTCTGTGGTATTCAGGAGGTCTGGTGGACCGGCTTTGGCTCCTGCCACCATGGGGGGTGGATAGTCCTCTACTCGGGGCATGAGACTGCCAAACAACAGGGAGTGGCTCTTCGGAACAGAAGAATGAAGGGGGTGTAGGAGCGTGGCAGTGAGGTTTGGGAAACTGTAAGCCCCAGGCTATTTTGGGCTCGCCTTCCCATCAAACAGAGGCGAGTGGTGGTCGTGGTTATGCCCCCACTGAAGATGAACATCAGTGGAG